ATATATATATACTATTGATAAATATATATATACTATTGATAAATATATATATACTATTGATAAATATATATATACTATTGATGCATTTTTGCACTTTTTAATTTAGATTTGAAGTGCCAGTAATATGCATGAAATACATTTTACAAAATAGAAAGAAAGTTGCCATTGTTACAAATCCAAAGTTTTTTTTTTTTGGTCAAAACTGGACTTGATATGGTTTGCTCAAATAAAGCATTGAAACTGAGTTTTACACCCACACCTCCAAGAGAGGTGAGTCCTGAACAGTAGAACTCACAAATTACTTTAAGGTTAAGTTTGTCTAATAAAAAATATCCATTTTATGATCAACTTTTTTTTTGTTCAGACCCAAATGCGTGTCTGATCGGTAGATACAGAATGCATGAAAAAACAACATGAATTCAAGGATTCAAGGTTCTTTATTTGTCATTCCATCACATGTACCACATGTGGTGGAACAAAATTATGTATACAGGATCCCAGTTACATAATGCTGGGATAAGTATGATACTGGAAACTAATATTTGTCTAAAACCTTCATAAACTAAAAATTTTGTCTAAAAATAGAACTCTGAAGTGAATACATTGATCTTAAGATGGTTGCATGCAGACTCATGTCGGGCACATTTTAGCATCTGTCCTTAGACCCAAAAACTGTTTAATGTACAAAATAAAGCGTATATAAATACCAACTATTTTTTTTCCTGTCCAAACACCCAGGCTTTAGGCCATGTTGAAAAAACAATTTCTTTGCACCTAATTTTTTTAGGTTTTTCTGTTTTGCTATATTGTGTTTTTTTCACCACCACACCTACAACTCCATGAATACAGCAACTGAGACAATTCTCATTTTTCTTTCTGCAGTTCACTCTTCAGAGGATGCCACAGCGGGTTATATTCTTTCATATAACTCTGTCCTCTGCATCCTCTGTCCTCACTACATTTGCTTTTTCCCTTTAACTGCATCCACATATCTCCACTATGTCTTTCATTTTTTCTTGTTTCTGGCAGCTGCATTTCTAACATCCCTCTACCAATGTACCCGCTGTCCCACCTCTGTACATGTCCAAACCATCTCAGTCTGGCCTCTTTAACATTATGTCTCAGTTGTTCAACCTGTGCTGTCCCAATGATTTTCTCATTCCTAATCATATCCATCCATGTCACTACCAAGGGGAACCTCAGCATCTTCCACTCTGTCACTTTAGTTGTTAATGTCTCTATCTGTAAACCATAAAACATAGCTGGTCTTGTAAACCATAAAACATAGCTGGTCTCACAAATGTCTTGTAAACTTTTTTGTTTGATCTTTGCTGCTACCTTTTTGTCTCAAGTTACTCCTGAAACTGTACTCCGTCATGAAAATAGGTGTTGATTACAACCAGTAACATTCTTTTGGCAAAATCCATCATCATTTGTCTCTTCTGGCTGCTTTCCTTGATACCAGACCTGCCCATCCTAATCTCTTCTGTTTCCTTTACCAATGTGCCCATTCAAGTCTGCTTCCATCACCACTTTCTCAGGGAATACTCTTTATCACCTTGTTTAGATCATTTCAGATTTTTCTCTTTCTTCTCTACATCACATCCAACCTGTGGAGCAAAACCACTGACATTCTGCATCAGACCTTCTATTTCTCCCATTAGGCATGTAACCTTTACTGACACTCTTTTCACCTCGACTATATTCTTTGCAAAGTTTTCTTTCAGGACCACCCCTACTTCATTCCTCTTAACCACACCATGGTAAAACATCTGTAACCCTGCCGCAATAGCTATGTTTACATGCACAAAATTCTTTGACCGGATTTAAATGTTTTTTCAGATTAAATAATTCAAATGTATCATTTACATGGTCACAATCCATTTATGGTGAGCGTTTACATGCAGCGGACTTTGTTCTGAACAGCAGTACTGACATGCACAGAGTGGTAAACTCTCCTTAAAAAAACACAGAAGAAGAAGTTCTTCTTCTGGTTTACTTCCAGGATGAACGTAAACAAACCTGAGTGCCAAGAATGGACTCACGACAGGTTTTAATGACGGTGGAGATGTTACTGCACTCCCTGACTGAGCTACAGGTAATACAGACCATTCTGAGCTCTTTCAAAGTTTCTAGTAGAAATGTTGTGTCACTCACCGACCAGTTATGCTTCCCTGACATGCTAATATTATTAGCATTAGCCAGATGCAGGCAGAAATGACATAGGTCGCACATGCACAGTCAGATCAGTTTTTCACAATTGGAAAAAAATGAACAGATTACATGTTCACATGCACACCGTTCGGGTTATGAATTGGCATAACCACCCATTTCGTTCTGATTACAGATTCTTTCAGATCCCGCTGAATAATCAAAAAATAATCCAAATGGGGCATTTAGGTACATGATGCATTTTTATTCTGAATGGGCGTTTAACCGGATTACTTTTGTCTATGTAAACATAGCTAATGATACAAGTCCTTAGCATTAAGTGTAGAACCACTAGACTGAGGAACATCTTCCACCCTGAGGCTGTTAGACTCATGAATATCTAACCAGAATAATCACTGTGAAAAATCACATCATGTTGCTGCTGATCTGTTTCATGTTACTGCTGATCTGTTTCATGTTGATGTGTTCATGCGTGCTCATCTGCTCACACAGACTCATGTTCGTGCTGCTGTTCAACGTAATGTTTTTACGCGATTAGTGATTAGTGTATTTTTAGTTGATGTTTTTCTTATTTTATATCTTAGATGTTATCATTGTTTTTCTTTTACATTTTTATTGTTGCATGTAACTGGGACCCTGTGTATATAATTTCGCTCCACCACATGTAGCACATCTCTGTATCATGACAGCCTGCACTTTTTTTTTTTTGCATATCATTGTCTTTACATTTAGAGTTTATACCCTCAGTCCTACACTCCTGACGCTTCTTGTACATTTTGCAATATTTTTCTGCCTCAAGATTTAAAAAAAAAAAAAATTATTTTCATATATCTCACCCAGTACTGGTGTCATACATTGAGGTCCACACCTGTTAGACAAGAATAATTGGTCAATTTGGCAGTGTCCATGTAACACAGTACATTGTAAAGCTATTGAGCTAAAATTTGGTGTGGTAGTAGCTGAGACACATCTTCCAAATACTTCACATTGAGACATTTTGGCTGAAAAAGTTGGCATGAACTGTTGGCGTTTTTCTATTTTTGAGATATCTAATGAACCACTGGATATATTTTATGACTTCCAGCAATCATCACATCAATATGTAGCTCAACATCTTAAAAATGTCTGACCTATAGACATTTTGTGCTGGCTGATGTAAATAGTTTTTTTTTTAAACTGTATTGAATTGGGTTAGCTTAAGCTTTATCATTTGCTGAAGTACATGAATGTACTTTAAAATCCTTCATTGACATCCATTCAGTGGTTCATTAGGTAATTTAACTGAAACAAACACCACCACCCACCCCCCCACCCCTCCCACACACACACTAAAGGCATAATTATTGTCTACCATTTAACATTGTTCAAAAACAGAAAGATTTTTCAGTTTAAACAAATGACAGTTATAATGATGACATTTTTAGAAAGACATTCACCATCTAGCCATGTGTCACTTTCTGTGGAAAAAAAAGCAAACAACAATTAACAAAGTTCAGAAATATCTTCAACAACTTGTCATCAAACAGATGACCTCCTTAAGATCACATTTCTGTCGGTCATGTCCTCAGGTGAGGCCTCAGAGTGGGAATTTGTGGCAAAACAAAGGAATAATTGTTTTGGATGGTTTTTTTTAGCATCCAAGAAAACAATTGAGTTATCAGACAGCCATCAAAGTAGAAAATGTTTAACGAAACAAAAAATGTTGAGTTGAAAATTCCATCAGTTTTGGTGGGACTCTTGTTTATTCCAAATGTCACTTTGAAGGAGGACAAATTGTGTTTTAATCTAAACCTGAAATGTAGTGGCACTTCATGTGAAACTGACAGAAAGTACTTGAAAATTTCAGCTTTGTTCTTGCATATTTCTTTATTATTTAGATTTCTTAGATTCTGATTTTATTGTATTTCAGTGAACTCTAGTAAAAACAGTGAATGAAGTGTTGTTTAAATGAATTATTAAGCCTCACTAAGGCTTAAGATTCTGTTATTTAATTGATTTCATTTATTGATGTAGAACATTGTCAAGCAGCACATTGTAAAAATTATTATAAAAAATGTATTTTTATTTAAAAAAAGCGTTTTTTTGTCCAATGTGTCATTTTCATAATAAACGAAAAAATAATCAGGACTTTGTTGAAATGCATTAACATTAATTAAGACTGCATTTAATTGCATTAGAATTAAACGGTGACATGGTTCTGTTCTGATTCTGCCTTCCTGCACCTCTGTGTTTTCTGTGTCACCATCCACAGCTGATCCTAATCACAATCACACCATGTGCTCTTCCTCTCACGTCATTAGTCTCAGTATTTAGCAGGGATGGAAGTAATGAATTACAAATACTCACATTACAATAATTAAGTAGATTTTTTTGGGGGGGCTACTTGTACTTTTATAAGTATTTATTTCAAGTCTGTAATTTTACTCATACTTAAGTACAATTTAGACCATGTAATCTACTTCGCTACTTTTAAAATCAGATGTTGCTACTGAGTACGGTCA